TAGTCCAGGCTGGCCTTGAACTCAGAGATCCACCTGTCTCTGCCTCCCCAGTGCTGGGATTAAACTCGTGAGCTACCACTACCTGGCTAGGATATTTTATAGAAATGTCTGGCTTCTTTCACTTGGCACAGTGTTGCAGGAGAATTAATATGGTAGTGCGTACCAGTACTTCACTCCCTTTTATGGTTTTGCGGTATTCTACGGGCATACTGTATTTGTTTATACCACAATCACACATCTCATATTACACCAAATTGATCACTATTGTCAAGAATGCTTCTATGAATGCTATGTACATGTTATTTTTAAACATGTAATTCTCTTGGGTATTATTTGGGAAAGAAACCACTGCTTCCACATTGACTGAAACAGTTCATATTCTTGGCAACATTGTTCAGATGTCTTTATGTACTAACCAGAATTCATTTTTCATTTTGGGGCTGGGTGTAGTGGGCTGTGCCCTTAATCTTGGCCCAGGCAGGTGGATCTGTGTGAGTTTGAGGCCAACGGGGTGCATGGAAAGAGTTGCTCCAGGCAGTTGTTCTCCGACCTCACATCAAATATGTACCCTCATGCAAAACATTTGTAATCAAGGAAAACAGTCAGCTGAGTGAATGTGAAGTGGTAGCTATTATTGTTCTAATTTTCATTTCACCAATAATAATGTTGAGCATTTGTATGTCCTTTGGGGCTTTTGAAAATATCAGATATATAGCTTACAACTCTATAAAAAAATTCCTTTTTTTTTTTTTTTTTTGGTTTTTCGAGACAGGGTTTCTCTGTGTAGCTTTGGAGCCTATCCTAGCACTCGCTCTGGAGACCAGGCTGGCCTCGAACTCACAGAGATCCGCCTACCTCTGCCTCCCGAGTGCTGGGATTAAAGGCGTGTGCCACCAACGCCTGGCCTAAGAAATTCCTATTTTTAATATACATTTTCCTTTTGTTGCTCTTATTTTTGTTGTCATATCTTAAAATCTATTGTTAAATCCAAGACCATAAGGATTGGCCTCTATATTTTCTTCCAAAAGCTTTAAATAATGAATTTAGGGCTTTGATACATTCTTAGTTTTTATGTGTGGTATGACGTAGGTGCCCACTTCACTTATTTTCATGTTTACATCTAGTGTTCTATTGTCATTTATTGAAAAGACTATTCTCCCCCTCGTATTTGAAATATCCATATTTTAAAAATGATAATAAAAATATCATTTTGAATCATATTGGAAACCTTGTCAAAAACAAACTGATCAAAGACAGATGGCTCAGTGATTAAGGGCACTGGCTGCTCTTCCAGAGGTCCTGAGTTTAATTCCCAGAAACTACATGGTAGCTCACAACTATTTATAATGAACCCTGATGCCCTATTCTGTCATGTAGGCATACATGAAAATAGAGCAGTCACATGAATAAATAAACAAATCTTAAAAGAAGAACACTTGCTGCTTTTGCAGAAAACCTGGGTTTGCTTCCTAGCGCCTACATGACCTCTTACAACCATCTGTACCTCCAGTTCCAGAACATTTGATGCCATCTTCTGGCCTCTGCAAGCACTAGGGCACACACAGGTATGCATACACATACGTGCAGGCAAACACTTTTACACAAATTAAAATGCATAAATCTTAAAAATAGAAAAAAGCCAACAGCCTATAGACGTGTGGGGTTATCTCTGGATTCTCAGTTGTAGTCCATTTCTATGTTTCCTCTTAGTTTAGCTCTTCTTTTTTTTTTTTAAGACAAGGTTTCTCTGTGGCTTTGGAGGTTGTCCTGGAACTAGCTCTTGTAGACCAGGCTGGTCTCGAACTCACAGACATTCAACTGCCTCTGCCTCCTGAGTGCTGGGATTAAAGGCATGTGCCATCACCGCCGGGCTAGGTTAGCTCTTCTTTTTGATGGCTCTAGCTTTTCTAGGTGGTTTTAAACCAGAAAATGCAAATCTTCTGTATTAGTCTTTGTGTGTTTATGTCTATGAAGTCCTGAGGTCAACCAAGGTGTCCTCCTCAGTTTCTTTCCAACTCGTTTGTTTTTGAGTCAGGGTTTCTCACTGAGAGACAGGAGGATCCCGGGTGCTCACTGACCAGTCAGCCTAGCCAATTATCTTATTATTTTCTTTCCCAAGATTGTTTAGGCTATTCATGGATTTTTATGTTTACACATGGATTTTAGCATCAACTATTCTATTGCTGAAGAAGTTTATGCACTAGGCATTCCTTTATTTTTTCTCCAGCAATTTTTGGTAGTTCTCAACATATACATATGATTTTTCTGCTTAAACTTATTCCTGTTTTATTCATTTCACTTTTGTTGTGTTGGGATTATTCAGCTAATTTCTTTCTTTTTTTCCTTTTCCCTTCCTTCCCTTCCTTCCTTCCTTCCTTCCTTCCTTCCTTCCTTCCTTCGTTCCTTCCTTCCTTCCTTCCTTCCCCTTTTGACAGGGTCTCTCTACATAGTCCTGAATGTCCTGGATGGAACTATATGTAGAGCAGGCTGGTCTGGAACTCACAGACATCTACCTGCCGATACTTCCTAAATCCTGAGATTAAAGGTGTGTGCTACATACCTGGCTAAATTAATTTCTTTATAAGATTGTTCTTTCTTATTGTATAGGAATATCACTGAAAATTTTGAACTTTGTATCCTGTGACATTGTTGAATTCTTTTATTAGCTCTAGTAGTGTTTTGTTTTGAGGTTTTTTTTTTTTTGTTTTTTTCTTTTTATTTTTTTTGAGACAGGCTTTCTCTGTGTAACAGCCTTGACTGTCTTGGAACTTGCTTTGTAGACCAGGCAGGCCTTGAAGTCAGAGTTCCTCCTGCCTCTGCCTCCAAGTCCTGGGATTCAAGGCATGAGCTACCATGCTCAGCAGCTCTAATAGTGTTTTGTGTCTTTTCTTTTATTGTTTTTTTTTGTTTGTTTTTGTTTTTTGAGACAGGGTTTCTCTTAGTAACAGCCCTAGCTGTCCTGGAACTAGCTCTGTAAACTAGGTGGGCCTTGAACTCACAGAGATCTGCCTGCCTCTGCCTCCTGAGTGCTGGGATTAAAGGCACATGCCACTACCACCTGGCTCGTAATTATCTTTATGATACAATCTGTATAAAATAATTGTCCATAAATAGAGATTGTTTTGTTTCTACCTTTGGAAATTAGATGCTTTTCACTTTTTTCCCCCTCTGGCTACAGTGTCCAGAGTTTTATTGAATAGACACATTGAAAATGGACACATCCTTGTCTTGTTTCTAATTTTATGGTCGTGGGTCACCACAACATAAGGAATTGTATTAAGGGGTTGAAGCATGGGACAATATATGAGGCCACTGACAGTGGGTCCAAGATCTAACTCTAATGCACAAACTGACTTAGTACAGACCATTCTATATGGAGAGATACCTTACTCAGCCTAGACAGGGAGGGAGGGGGGGTGGGGGTACCTTGGACCTGCCTCAACCAGATGATGGGACATACTTAGTAGACTTCCTAGGGAAGGCTTTACCCTCTCCATGGAGCAGATGGGAGGTCAGGTGTGGGGGAAGTGGGGAGGATTGAGAGAAGAGGAGGTAGGGGGAACTGGGATTGGGATGTAAAAAATAAATTAATAATAATAAAAAGGGTCACATTAGGAGGTTTGAGAACCCCTGGGGTAGTTGCTTCCCTCTCCATAGCCTGCATTTTTAACCATATGGCACTACTGCTTCTTCTTTCCTCTATGAATTACTGATGGCTATAGTTTGCGTTAGGTACAAAAATCTTATTTTCATAAAAAAACATTAAAGTCATTATTTTTGATGGGCATATATAAAATTATATATGTTTACCAAATCTATTTTATATAACCTTCTAATTCCTTTTAAAACTGTTTTATTTTATTTTTAATGTGTACTGGTGTTTTGTCTGCATTCATGTCTGTGTGAGGGTATCAAATCCACTGCAACTGTAGTTGCAGAGTGTTGTGAGCTGAAATGTGGATGCTGAGAATTGAACCCAGGTCCTCATGAGGAGACATCCCGTGCTCTTAAGCACTGAGCCATCTCTCCAGTACCCTTAGCCTTCTATTTCTTTAGTAACAAAGTCTTTAGGGCTGGAATGATTGGGTTGAATACTCTGAAGTTCTCTATATGGTTTGTGATGAACTTAGAAGGTCAGTGTGAATGTCTACCACTTAATTAAAATGGCTGCATTCTGTGTTCGCTGTTCCACAGATCCAGACTGAGTCAGTCTACTTTCTGTTTCTGAAGTCCTTAAATTTTCATCCCTATAAGCAAAGCGCCTCCTTACTTCCTTCTTGGTATCTTCATTCTTGTGCCCTGTCTTCTCATTTTCCATCAACATTCTGACCTTGGCTTGCCAGTAGAGCCAATGCAGGAGACATAACGTTACCAGTTCAAATCGCCTTAAGATACCATTGTGCACTTAGTTTGGAAAGGCATCTGCACGCAGGACAGCTTTGTTTTCCAGTTATTCCCTTTCCTTTATCAATATCCGTTTGCCTGTTTCTGTTACTTTTTTTCAGAAAAGCATTCATCATGCAAAAGTGTACTTACACATAAGACAGTGTTGAAAAATCCAGTCTTAGCAAATACCCAAGAAAAGCACGTGCCTACAAAATTTGCATTTGGCTGATTAAAGACAGTATTTCAAGTTAATATTTTTGCACACTCAAGCACAAGCATACCTTTGGGGGTCTTCGTTCAAATACGCGTAGTATCTGCGTATCGGTTTTGATATCTGATACTGTAAATTTAAAAAAAGTGTAAAGTTATAAAAGGGAGCAAACTGAGCAACAACCAGAGATCTGAAGAGATCTAAAGAAGGCACCCATTAGGAGACTTGAAGAAGTTGCCATGGGCTTATTGTCCAGGCATGCCCAGGACTCGTAGAACTACGTTTCCCAGAGTGCTTAGAGCGGACGGGCGCCTCGGCCTCCAGCTGAGCATCAGTCCCGCCTTCTCCCTCCAGTGATTGGTCTCTTCACTTCCGCGCCTCCGCGGTTGTTTCCTGCCATTGGTGGATGTTCCGCTTGCGGAGTTTACTCTTTCCCGGTCCTGTCAAGCACCTGGCTCTGGCTCCCGTAGCAAGATGGCGGCAGAAGGAGCTGGTGGGAAGTACAGGAGCACAGTCAGCAAAAGCAAAGACCCCTCGGGGCTGCTCATCTCGGTGATCAGGTGAGGGAGGCAGGAGGCAGGGTGAGGACAGGGCAGCGGCTCGCCCCCCCCCGAGGGAGGGAGAGGCGGCGGGCGGGCCCCGCCCGCCGGCCCTTCCCTTCCTCCGGGTCTCCCCAGCCCCTCCCCAGGGTCCCCAGCGTTTCTGGGGCCGGACGCGAGGCGGGGAGCCGCCCCCCAGTCTTCTCCTCAGGGCACGGTCCTTCTTGGGTCCCGGCTCCAGGGCGGGAAGCAGCCCGGAGCAGGTGCGCTCATTCATCCCTGGACCGGGTACTGGAGACCCCGGTGCAGCTCGCACTCTGGAAGGCCGGCTGTGGCCCGGGCGAGCCTCCTGTCAGGTGTCCCACTCTGGGCACTTTCCACCCCCTGTGAGGAGCCACAGCTATTGCACAGCGGATCCCAGGTTCTGCAGTGAGCTGCTTAGCACTGGATATTGAAGTGACACATGCGTATCTTATTTTTATTCGCTTTCTTATTCCAGTCTCTCCCCCCCTTCCCCAGTCATACCAAACTGAATTTCGAAATGCCCTACGTGTTACTACTCTCTTCCTGAAATATCGGGGTGACAGTGGGAGTGGTGGACTATTTTCAGGTCTATTTAAAAAAAAAAAGTTAAACAAATTTAGACCTGCCTGAATAAAATGCATTATAACACATAGGTGGTTGTCATTTGAATTTCACCCCACGTATTTCCGTATTTCCATGAAACAAATATCCCTTGTTTTCCCCTCTTATCCTTCACGTTGATATGAGTTTTTTTTTTTTTTTTTTTTTAAAGATTTATTATGTATACAACATTCTGCTTCCATGTATATCTGCACACCAGAAGAGGGCACCAGATCTCATAAGAGATGGCTGTGAGCCACCGTGTGGGTGCTGGGAATTAAACTCAGGACCTCTGGAAGAGCAGTCAGTGCACTTCACCTCTGAGCCATCTCTCCAGCCCCCTGATTTGAAGTTTTGTTTTGTTTTGTTTTGTTTTTTCGAGACAGGGTTTCTCTGTGTAGCTTTGGAGCCTATCCTGGCACTCGCTCTGGAGACCAGGCTGGCCTCGAACTCACAGAGATCCACCTGCCTCTGCCTCCCAAGATTAAAGGTGTGCGCCACCAACGCCTGCCTTGAGTTCTTAATCTAATGATTTGACCATTCTTCTGCAATGGTCCTGGTGATGATTATTATTTTTTTTTTTTTAGGATCCACCATAATCTGGTAGGTTGTAAGCCCTGGAAAGAATGGATAAATCGAGCTTTAAAAAGTTTTCCACTCAATACACTGAAAAAGACCTATCTATGGCTTTTATGTCAGTAGTTGCTGAAGTGACACATGCATATCTTATTTTTATTTGCTTTGGAATAAAGCAAATAAAGCCATACTGAGATGGCTCAGACAGTAGTTTAAGACAATGGCCTGTGGAATTATCATTTTTTATTGTACAAATTCGAGTTTATTTTGCAAACTTCCTGTGAAAATAATACACTTTGTATAATCACGCTATTAAGGTATGCCCAGACCTGTCATGTATAACTGCAGGCTTGTAGCCTTTAACAGTAAATAGCACAGGTATGTCCCTTGATAGTAAAACCTCAGTCAAAGCATTTATAGTAGCCCATCTGATTTCTTTGAAATTCTAGTATAAATGGAATCTTCTTCTGAACTTGGTTTTTTTTTTTCCCTGCCTGATAGTCAACACTCACATAAACAATAGTTATTTACTAAATATGGTGCCTGGCATTTATTTAGTACTTAGGAATTTGTTGGGTGAGTTTATGGATGCCCTGAGGTTTTCAAAGACAAGTCAGATACAATATTAGTCCTGAGGAGTGTGTATTCTACTTGTGAGATAAAGATGTTTAAAGAGTATGAAGTGGACTTGGAGAAAGATGGAATGTTACAGAGATTGAGAATTTATGGAAGGAGTGGTCACTTCCAACTGAAGTGGAGAGAGTTAGAGGAAGTGACAGCTGTAAACACATGTCCCACCCTTTTTGTGCTTCTGATTCCGTAGGCTTTGTTTGTCAGATTTCTTAAGTGGCAGTTAGATTTATCCTCAATATGTGACATTTAAAAACTGAAGGACTTGAAACTTTTGACTGATTCTCAAGTAGAGATATACATTTGCTTGAAGGGCCAATTCTTTGTCATCTTTGGGGCCGTAACCCACTGCTAGTGTACAGCATTGTTCTGTATTGAGAAATGCAGCCTAGTCTGGCTTCAACTCATTATGTAAATAGCAGTAACCTTGAACTCTTGCTTGCATCTGCCAAGTGTAGGTATCACAGGTGTTCACCGCAACACCCCCCTCCCCCAGACAGGGTCTCTCTGTGTAGCCCTGGCTGTCCTAGAACTCTCTCTGTAGGCCAGGCTGGCCTCAAACTCACAGAGAGGTCTGTCTCTGCCTCTTGAGTACTGGGGTTAAAGGTGAGAGCCACCACTGCCTGGTCTGTTATCCATCTCTTAAGCCAATCTGTGTTGCCATCACTTTTTTACCATGATTTTGGCTCAGGCTTCTTTTCCTTTGCCCTCTGTTGTGAAGCACTGCTTTAATTTTGATTCCTAATCCAGATCACATGGGAACATTGAATGACATGTTTCCTTTATTGTGCATTTTACAATCATGCCATTAAGGTATGTCTGGACCTATCATTCTAGGCAAGTCTTGTAAGATTGGGGTTCATGCCTGAGTAGTAACACAAAACAAGATGTTTTTGGTGCTGCAGTGTTGCTGTTTGTTTCTCAACATTCCTTTGGAAACAGAAACATTTGGCTTTGGAATGAGGGAGGATGTTGCCAATCTCTGTTGGTGTTTCCTGCTTTTCTTTTGTGCTTAACTCAGCGGTTTAAATTTCCTCAACAGTGCATGGGAGGAGAATGGTAGTATAACTTTGGTGTTGGCGTTTGGGGTGAGAGACGGGCCCTGATTGGAAAAATAGAACAGGACTGTGCATTTCTTCTTAGTGACTGTGTGTCCTTCTGGTTTCTGCTCTTCAGATCTGTTCCATGTGTCCTTCATGTTGCTCTTCTTGCAAATTGTATTCATTATTCTTAGATCTTCCCATGTACTTCAATTACCTCCTCCTATCCTTAACATTTTTCATATTCTCTTGAAAGACTAGACCTTTTCTGGTTGCTTTGGCAACAAGCTTCACAAAGGAAAACCCATTTTAGGTTTGCGTCTATAAAGTCTAAGTATTACCGTAAGGGTGCTTGGTACATGCTAACTCTTTCATGTTGCCCTAGACCTGTCATTTTGTCACAAAATTAAGCTAGTGACAGAATCCACTGTCTTTTAAACAGTTCAATTGTTTCATCTTTATTTTTTTCTGTCACTGAGCAGCTGTTTTTCTTGTTTTGGAATGTTTAAAAAATTCCTTCAGTTCTCTTCTCTGAATGTGTAAAACACCATGTCTACACTAGGTTATATGTTGTAACATTTTATATTACTTTTAAAATGACTTTATTTTTTTAATTTAGAAATAAGGCCTTACTATAAAGCCCTTGCTGGCCTGGACTTGCTATGTAGTCAGGTTGGCCTTGAACTCAAGATCTATTTGCCTCTGTTGCCCAAGTGCTGGGATTAAAGATGTGAGCTACCACATCTGACTAAAATGATATTCTTAATAGTTAGAAGGGAAGAGCATTTCTTGTAGTGTACTCTTTTTGGTACAGAATTAAACTCTAGATTTAGATCTAATGTAAGGAATGAGCTAGTGTACACAAAGGAAATGCCCTGGTCTCATTGCCATTTATTCTTTTTGTTTGTATATGGATTTTTGAGACAGGGTTGCATGTAGTTCACACTGGCCTTGAACTTGCTAAATAGGCACAGATAATCTTGCACTTCTGATTCTTTTGAGTATACCTCCTGACACTCGGTATAGGCCTGCTCCATCACAGCCAGATCTCATTGCCATTTTCTAACATGGTAGTAACTAATTGGATAATGAGTCAGTGTTTTACTAGTCATTGACAATTTAAAATAAAAAAAAATAGAAATACAGTGCATTTGTGGTCTTTTTTTGTTTGTTTTGGTTTTTTTGAAACAGGGTTGGTCTTTGCAGCCCTGGCTGTCCTGGAACTCACTTTGTAGATCAGGCTGGCCTTGAACTCACAGAGATCCACCTGCCTCTGCTTCCTGAGTGCTAGGATTAAAGGGGTGCACCATCAGCACCTGGCTGTGTAATTGCAATCTTATATTTCATAGAAAGAGACTTAGAAGATATGTAAATTAAAATATCTGATCACTTAAAAACCCTGAATACATTTCAGGACAGTCAGGTGTGGATTGATCTACTCTTGTGTCTGTTTAGAGGTCCTCAGGTCTGTCAGGAAGGCTTTTGGTGAGGAGGGATAGTGCATGTGATTTGGTCTTTTGGAGACTGCCACTAACTGTAGATTTTGGGTTTAAGTCACCACTGGCCCTTTACAGCAGCCCTAATTGGGTGGACAGAGTCCAGTTTGGACATTTTAAACACACCCACACACACCCACCCACCCATCCACCCATATCTTCTTTTTTCCTACTGACACACACACACACACACACACACACACACACCTTTATCTTCTTTCCTACTGATTACTCCACTTCAACCTTTTGTTTGGTGTGAAATTGGAGTTGTGAAAGAAGGAAGATGGCATTTCAGAGATGTTATTTTATTTTTGTGAGTTCTTGTCAGATTTTTAATTGGGAAATGTGTCTACCACTTACTGTTAGGTGATTTGCTTTCCAATTAAACATTGACTATGCCTTTTTTGTACATCAGCCTGCAAATAGCCAGTTTAATTGGGGAGACAGACTCTGGTTGTGACTTAAGGAGACCTTATTGAAACATTGGAGCAGAGCTTTTGCAGACAGGCTGGTTACAGATGTCAAGGAGGTTTGAAGGCATTGGAGGCTCACATTTTCATCAACTTTTATGTCTTCACAGAAGTTGGAATTTCAAAAACATAGAAAATCCTTTATTGTAGGCTCCTGTAAAATTTCTTCCTTCCTGTAGAGGATA